CGGTGAGTTTATCGAGTCGATTGAAATGTGTTTTTCACTGACAAAGGTGTTTTTTGATATATATATATATATATATATATATGTCAGAAGACAGCACACTGAAATTCGAACAACATTGAAGGGAGTAGTAATCACAGGAGAGTTTATTTACGGATCCACGTTTACTATGAATACAGACAACTACCAGTGGTGCATGTGTGTTCGTGTGTGACTAGAGTGATACAAAATCTGTGCTTCCATCTGTTCTTCGTTGAGTTGTTTTTGGTTGAGCAGATAGGGAGGGTAAGTTGTAACCTTTGATGTGGTAAGCATCACAACATGCTGAATTCATATTATCTCCCCATTCCACTTGTCAATTGAATTAACTTGATAATAAACATTTGTGGCTGCATTACTAATGATGACATTGTTAACTGCGTTTCTTTTCACAGCTACTGTTCAAGAGAAGCTTCTTAAGATATTCTCAAAGGATGACGTGTCAGGCATTGACACTGATGAAAGTTGAAGACATTTTTGTTATTTTCTTATTATATACAATAAGATCATTTCACCAGTCAGAAATCTTTTATCTTGACTAGTTAACCTTTGCGTTCATGACTGCCATGGAAGAGAGACTAGTTAGAACACGTGACGTCAATAACTGCCGGTCTATTTTGAAGAAATTGATTGTAATCCCCTTCAGCAACTTCATAGGCGCATCGAGATTAGCGAAATGCCTTCGAAAAAGCTTTCTTCAGATTAGTTGTGAAAAGAATTTGAGTGACTGATAACACTACAGCAGCGTCTTCATTCACTCCAAGGGGCAGAGCTAATTGACTTTCTTCCCCATCACTTAGATGAATTCTTACAAATCGTATTGAAGTTATCGGATTTGACCGATAAAATTTAGTCATACGAGACTTTCTCTATGACTACTATCAGGTCGAAGAACTTTGTGAGTATTAGTCATTTATTGGTGTGTTGAGGGATAGACGAGGTGTTGTCATCAGTCCGTATTATCTCTGTACTTCACATAGGGATACATTTTACTGACACCTAGTCAGTAGTTCGTCCTGAATGTCGGGGAATTAGGGAAAGTTAATCGATAAAGTATATTGGCACGTGGATTCAGATTGACCAACACTTCCTTTAGACCTGGTTCATAAACTATAATCGCACAAGTATCCACAATTACTGGTTTGTTTTCCTGTTTGTTTGCGTGCTGACAACAGTGAATGACTTGAAAGCAGCTACAAGATGCTTTGATTTTGAACCTTTAAGTACCTTGACTTCAGCTTTGTTCAGCTAACTTGGCGAATGTTTCATCATGCGTGTAGAAAATCGCGCATATGTATTTACTTCCACAAACACACTCATCAAGTTGATTTACGTAGTTTCAAGTGTCAAGGACTGGCGACTGGCCTCTCTCAGGTTGTGGAAGCATCTGCTTATTTGTGTTATGGACTACAAGTTTTGCAGCATAATAAGTTCTCTTGAAAGCTTTGTCCTACATATTCTCATGCAGTGTGGTGGTTCAATGGTGGCATATTCGACAACCAATCAGGTGGTTCGGGCGCGACTCTCAACCTACGCGTGCACTCCTGAACTTTGCGTTGCTGACAGCAGCCCCAAAAACGATGGAAGGCCGAGTGGAAGGCCAGCGACTTTGGTTGGTTGCATCAACAACATCACCACTGCTGAAATTTCAACGCGTGAGGCCCTTTGCACTCCACTCGAAATTGAAGAAAGACGGAAAATAAACATTTGGACAAGGAAAAATTCTGTTTTTCTGAGTGGCAGTTCGACGAAATGAAACTGCATTCATATGCAGTCACAGTCAAATTCTGTTTACAATAAGTGAATTGAACAATATCACACAGAGGGTACTTGTTCAACCATCACATTGTAGTCTCTAGAATATCGGTGAGGTAGGTTGATCAACACATATCCGAAATTTGTCAAATAGATGGACCAAGCTAGCACACCTTCCGTAGATCATAAAGTCATTGATTCAGCGATTCTGTCCGTCTTAGGTGCGGATCAACCACTCAGAGTTGATCACTAAGATCGTAGGTCAACTGTTCCTGTTTTGTTTGTTCCCATATATATATATATATATATATATCAGACTCTGTATATATATATATATATATAAATATATAGAGTCTGATATATATATGGGAACAAACAAAACAGGAACCAATCGCCCAACAAATATGCAGGAGAAAGTGGAAATGGATTGGACACTCGCTGAGGAGGCCGTTGGGTGACATCGCGCGTCAGGCCATAGCTCGAGTGGAACCCGAAGGGGAAGCGGCGAGTGGGACGTCCAAGGGTGACGTGGAGGAGATGGTGTGATGAGGAACTGAAACAGTATGGATTAACATGGATGCAAGTGAAAAGTACAGCACAAAACAGAAGCAAGTGGAGGCGTGCAGTTGAAGCCCTATTTTCCACTAGGAACCCAAGGGAACAATAATAATAATAAATGTTAAAATGACTAGAGAATTCGATGTGCAGTTAGTTATATTGGTTGAGACAGAAAGCGAATCGAATCAATCAGTTAGAATTAAGTAAACAACAAAATGACGAATTAACCAACTAACTAACTAACTAGCTATATATATATATATATCAGACTCAATAAGGTTTTGATTACTCACGCTATTCCACATGAAGATATTCAGCTGAGCGACCATTCAAATCTGTCCATGATGAATGCGAGCATGTCTATGGTGAATATGTTATGAAGCAGTATTGACAGAATTCATAACAACGTCAAGAGTGATATGCCTATGCATTGAATATCACAATGGAAATTCACCGTAATTCGTCAGCAACAATTTTCTCACTGGAACTTGTTTTCATTGAGGCTTGAGCAAGTTCTATTTACCAGATTGCTCTAGGATTTTATCCGTCAAGCTCACACGTGACTTATCAAATATTCTACATGGCCTATTTCTGTCTTTGAAACTCTTTCTAACTAGTAGGTTATTCCAGATTTTACTTCGCTTCGATATGCGTTCCGGATGCAGCTGGTTCATTCAATTATCTCTCTTATTGCGTACCTTAGCAAGCTTATTCAATACCTCTTATGTACTGATTGATATTAACAATGAATATGACAATTCATCACTGCTGTCACTATCCTCTTTCGTGGAAATAATTCTACATAAGTGGTATTGTACAGATAAAGATAATCAGTTCGACATAATAGAAGCTTGTTTACTGAACTACTTGCTTTGCTTCTTATTGGTTCAAAGCAGGCGACAGCTTGATCATGAACTGTGTGTTTGTCAGTGTGAAGGGAATGTGTCACACAGTTTCAAATTGTCCGTTAACAGCCTAAATTCACGCTATTACCAAGTGAGTTTTCAAAGTTGAACTTCGCATAGAAGTGCAGTATTTTAAGCCGCTACTTCACCCTTTATAGCCCGCAAATGTAGAAAAGAGACTTCAGAGGAACTATAATGAACCACCAAGTACGAAAGAAAATCAATTCTGAATTGGCACTAATAGCTAGTGTGATGTGTCTAGTCCTCTCTTTGGTGCAGACTGAATTCTATCAGTCAGGGTGTAATGTGGCCACCATTCTAGGTAGCTCGCCATCACGTCGCACATTGATTTGATGATATCACATGATTGGATGTGAGCCACCTAGAATGGTGGCCACATTACAACCTGACTGATAGAATTCAGTCTGCACCAAAGAGAGGACTAGACACATTACACTAGTTATTAGTGTCAAATCAAAATATCCACTACAGTCCTACAGGAGGCAAATCGCGAGCCCGAATAACTCAGTGGTAACGTCTCTGACTGCGTCACTAGGTGAAGCGGGTTCAAATCTCAGAAGGGACATGAGTTCCTTCAAGGTTGCAGATACGCCCTGCTGAAGAGTGCCAACTAGCACGGAACCTAGGTTCAAGGCTTCCTGCCGATTGCCTCCAAACATCTAATACCATAAAGTCAATTCTATCAAAGATAATGAGAATGTAATGGATAAAGGAGTTCATAGGTAGTGAATGCATTTTCGCCACTGACAACAACTTTGGATCATGTCACTTATAGTGTGTACAGCCATTTGTTCTCAGCACCTCGAAGACACACACACTCACACACACAGCAGAAAGTCTATGCCTGCCCATGTGATTCAAACCGACAATCAGTGACGCGATGGATTGACGCCAGGTTTTGAATTAATCCTGAAGTAAATAATCACTGTTGACATTCATTATAGCATCGCATTCTTATTTTCTGAATCAGCTGGCATCTAGTGATGATTAGGTTCATTTAAAATATCTTCAGAAAAGAGACATCACCAGAAATTTACTTTCTATACTCAAAGTAACTCCCTTTCTCTTTAGATTTTTGTTGTCTTACAATATTGTTAGCTTGTTCCAATAGGTTTCTGAGTCAGTGTAGGCATGCCATTATGTGAATTTGTTATTCTTTGTATAATGAAGGGAGAAATTTGCAGTGTTTAGTGCCCCCAACTACTCAATTTGAAGTCATCTGTAAGCTCTTATCAATATTGAATTTTGCACTGAATTTGTTGTCTAGATGGAGATTGAAGACATCGTAAGTGAACTTCCCAGCTGAGAGAATACAACCAAATAGAAAACAATTTCACTCAGCTTTATTGTTTCTTTCAGAAAATCGACAACATAAGCATAAATGCATAAAAATATATAAACTTCTGACGAGTTTCTTCAACAAACTCGACAAACTTGGAATTCGACTTGAATTCTGCACCAGGCACTGTCGCATTGACTTTTTTCTGAAAGTTATAATGTCGCCTAGTGTAATTGTGTTTAAAAAAGGATGGACACTTTCACTTCATCCAGTCAGCACAAGTAATTCAAGTCAGTGGAATTTGGTTGGACAGTGCAAAAAAACAGCTTTTGTGATTACAAATCTGATTTGATAATTTGAGGTGTCTACTACTCAGCGTTGTTCTGTTTGCTCTGGTCATCAGCATATATGTATATGTGTATATGTTAACATATTTGTATTTGTCGAGAACCAACTTCAACATGCGTTGCTTCTTACTGTTCATCACAAGTTTCATTCTTCTTCATGTTCAACAATCTACACAAGATGGTGAGTTTCAGTTCACGTTTCATAATCATGTACTTATTTGATGTACAATATCATCTAATGTAATTAGTCTAAGATATTAAACTGATCATCGAATTATTTTATAAATTGTAAATTTGTATTTAATAATATCAGGCAAGTATTTCGTTCAAAATAAGCCTTGCAGAATTTAACTAATAAAGCTCAGTCAGTCAGTTTTTGTAATTTTCCGGCTAATCGACTGGACCGAGATGTTCTGTCACTCTTGACATGTCGGTCCGCAATACGGACAGCTAGATGATTTTTAGGATCAAAAGGACGTATTCTAGTGGATAATAACTAGTGGCGGAATCCAGGATGCGCATTTCAGCTTATTTTGGATTCGTGAGGAATACCAAGTGAGTCGTGGTGTTCGCGCCGCAATGAGCACTGATGGTTTCAAATGAAGAAGCTTCAGAGAAACATAACAACTTATGCCCACTGTATAAAAGATGATTTTCTGCCTTCAGGGGAGTATCGGGAATTACCATTGATTGGGTAAAGTAACTTTTGTGATGTGTTTATTCCTCAGTTTCGTGCAGACTCAATTCAATCAGTCAGGTTTGCAATGTGATCACCATGGCACAAGGTGGCTTGAGATCACAGTGCACATTGATTCGAACACATTAGATGGTTGAAGGCAATCGGTAGGAAGCCTTGACTGACCTAGGTTTCGTGCTAGTTGTCACTCACCAGTCGGCAAGGCGTATCTGCAACCCAGAGTGAACTCATATCCCTTCTGAGATTCAACCCCGCGTCGCCAAGTGATTACTGCAGTCAGATGCGTTACCACTGAGCTATTCGGGCTCGCGATTGACCTCCTGTGAGATTGTATTTGATATTTTGATTGGACACTAGTTAGTAACTTTTGTGATGTGTCTAGTCCTCTGTTTCGTGAAGACTGAATGTTATCAGTACTTTCTAACTATAAAGCTGGGTTTGACTTTCAGTGGCAATACTACAACCTGCTGGATATCGTATTCAGAACCGGATAAAGAGTTTTCAATAGTCATCATCCGGCATCTATAATCCAGATATGCTAATGTGTATTACCTTAGACTGAAACATAATAACACACTGGAGAAAATTTAAAAGAGGGATTTGTTAATTTGATTTCAGGCATCAGTGAAAAATCCCGTAGTCTTGACATAGTTGTATAACTCAAAAGATTTCATATATTAGTTTTAGTGAGGCTGTAATTGTTGTTAGAATGACATAACGCGGAAAGTGATTTCCCTGTAGCAGATCATGATCCACATTTATTGTGTCAAGACTGATGATAAAATCGAAGTAGATAAAGTCGAATTCAGACCCCAGATACTTTGACTTAAAGCCTAGAGCTTAAGTCAATGATTCACAAATCCACTGTGAGATCGTTCGACTACAGAGATCACGCATGCTGTTTGAGTACCCACTTGATCAATATTTTATTCAAAAAACAAACAATGACACAACTGAATCGATCTTTGATGGTCGTGTAAAACCCCAGCGTTACAAATACTCTAATCACCTTTGATTTATCCTTTGCTAAAGTATTATTGCTGAGCATGAACGTCAGTTAACTTCTCAAACATCTGAGAAATATTTGTCAAATTCAATCTGCTGGCTGAAGTCACCATAAAATGTATCACGATTCCAAGTATTCTGAATCGCTTATATTTTATTATTATAGCAATTACTTACCACTAACTTTGTCTTTTCTTATAGACCTAAAGACTACTATGATGAAAAGAACTTTAATACAAAGTAAATTACAAATAAATGCAGGTAAACTTGAAATAACCTATCAGACGGATATTTATTTATAGGATGAATGTGCTTTCAAGATTCTCTGTTTATAGTATTCAGACTTCAGTAAATATGTGTAGGGTGGTTAAGGGAGTGCATCAGTCGGCAATCGAATCCTAACCACGTGCCTGATTGGCGAGTATTTTAACATTGAACCATTGGAGTGCAGGCTGTTATGGTAGCGGTGATACACAGAATGATAGAGAAGTTGTCAGTCATTTGTATAATGCAGCAATAAAAGTGCCTGATATGACCTAAATCCAACTTGTCACCTATCAAGTATGCTACAAGTAGAACTAGAATCAATCAAGCGTTTCTTTGAAAATCTAAAGTCAACTTCGTCTGAGCTCTGTATTACTCTAATATTGTAGAAAATTTGAAGAAGAACAATGCGACATTGACTAATCTAACCAAAGCATTACAAGAACGAATAGGTAATTTACAATGGGGTTATTCTTTCGCCTGTTTTTGACGCTTAATTTGACACTTCGAACTTGTATTAGCCAAAGTTTGCTTAATTTTCATATTACCGTATTGATATTTATGCTGAGCAAAATTACCTCCTCATAACCTTGAACTGAACATTCTGATTTCACTTGAAATGAATTAAGTCCCAGTAAACCAACATTTGAAATTTATTCTAATGATCACAAGTGTATTACTACAGCTTGGGCTTGCCTGAATTTCTAGTCGGAAATCGTTCCATAGAAATAATTTGAAAGTTCCCATTCAGTCATAGAAAAGAAAAGGCGTTCAGCAAAGAGTTACTCTTTTCGGCGATATCATTCTCAAGCTGCACAAACCGAAAATTTATAGTAATTTTCCTTGTCAACAAAAGGAATATTTCCAAAGATGTGTTAATGCAATTGTTAATTTTTGACAACAAATTACGTAATTTAGAAAGCGTTAATCGGTTAGAAACTAAAATAAAGTTACAAAAGTAGGTTGGGTGACGTAATCTAATTGATAGGGTTCAATGAGAAATGAATGAGAGTCAAGTTAATAATCTGAGTAGAATTCACTTAAAAATAAACGAAAATGGAGTCAGCAACAGTCGTCATGAGGGTAGAGATTTAACAGAGGGTGGGGGTAGAAAATAATGCAATTAAGAAACAGACAAACAAAGAAGAAAGAGGTAAGACAAAAAATGACGTAATTACGTATTCCCACAATACGTGGGAATCTTGCCAAAAGAGTACGAATTAAACTTCTTCAAACTGCAGAAGCAATGGCAATCCACATATTGAATCCTGATCACTTCATACAAAAGAAGTTTGTTCAGTCACTAAATCTACAATGGTCCTGATCTGTCTCAACACCAAATACGTAATTTTGTCTTACCTCTTTCTTCTTTGTTTGTCTGTTTCTTAATTGCATTATTTTTTACCCCCACCCTCTGTTAAATCTCTACCCTCATGACGACTGTTGCTGACTCCATTTTCGTTTATTTTTAAGTGAATTCTACTCAGATTATTAACTTGACTCTCATTCATTTCTCATTGGACCCTATTAATTAGATTACGTCACCCAACCTACTTTCGTAACTTTATTTTAGTTTCTTACCGATTAACGCCTTCTGAATTACGTAATTTGTTGTCAAAAATTAACAATTGCATTAACACATCTTTGGAAATATTCCTTTTGTTGACAAGAAAAATTACTATAAATTTTCGGTTTGTGCAGCTTGAGAATGATATCGCCGAAAAGAGTAACTCTTTGCTGAATGCCTTTTCTTTTCTATGACAATAGAAATAACACAACTCCTATGCTAGATATATGAAAAACTACAGTAAGCAACAATAGGGAAGAGGAAAATCTTCGTCAAGCAAATTATAAAGCTGTAGGAATAAGTTGATAAGGTTAAGGACTTGAAAAGTCATCCAGTCATTTTTACTGTGTATTATATCAGGTAAACTTATCTAGCATGGAATTATACTCAACCACAGTGCCCAAATCTCCTGCTCTTAATTTAAAAATATTTGCCATTTAAAGAAGACTGACTGTCAATGACACCATGTGCCAGAAATCGATAGGATTTAGAATTCACAGCATTCTGTCTAAGTAGCCAAGTGATCGACGAGATCTGTCCGTAACCTGCAGGCAATGGATACAGTTGGGTTTGTGAGGGGTGAATGAAACGTACACCTAATGAGTCGTCCTGTAGTATAGCTGCTCTGCAAGGAAACAATAATAACGGGAACATTTTTACTTATCTATGTTGTATTTCCCCACTGATTGATTTATACCAGTGATAAATGCTCAGTGCCTGTTGGTATGTCAGCTTCTAGTATGGATGCTCCTACGAAATCTGAAGGTTAACACGCTGTTAAACAGCTGATGATGGTCAGAATACGCGTTTTCACCGTATCGGCACTTGTTAGCTGGCCCAGCTTTTAATCTCTGAAGAAAGCTGCAGACGCATAATGAAGATTAGCATGAACAACCACAATATCTGCATTCAGCAGGGTTTTGTCTGCTGGAAACTAACACTTATCATAACAGTGGCCTAGTGGATTACACCTTGGCTGGGTTGAAGTCCCAAGGAGAATATCATCACTCAATGGATAATGAAAGCACATGCATCTGACAAGTCCCAAATAATACGAAGTGAGTATTCTGGATTCGATGGTTAGCCACCATCAATCAGACAACATCTCTATATCAGTAATTCTGCATTTAATCAAACGAAATTAATAAACTACTTTATAAAGCAATGACTCCTTTAATGTTTTCTCTCTCATTGTTTACAGGAAACATCAATAATAAACTGTCACCTGACGGGTTGTCCATTGATGAATGTGAGTTATAATCTACAAAATATATCACACTATAACTTGAATATTTAGATGTTGCCTGTATAAGAAACTTGATGGAAGCAGAAACTGGAGTCGGACTTATGGAGAGTATGAGCATTTCTTATATCTTATTTTATGATCATTTGTGAAATCAACATAGCCTTTAAAAATATTTTCATTATGTTATTCATTTCGTTATACACAAAGGAAGAGAGAGTCAGAGAGATTAGATTTTTGAAAAACAAATTGTAGGCAACAGTGATGTGTGGACGTGTTTCAAACGTCTGAGTTGGTGGTTCGGGGATAGAATGGTTCAACTTCCGGGCTGCACACGTCTCGAACCTGCCTAGCTGGCAATAAGGCTGATGAAGAGGAGAGGGTAGGCGTGAGGTTAGTAACTCCACCTGGTTTAATCAAAATAAGCGATACTGGAACTTCAAAGATTATGGTCTGATGCCCTATTTTCGCCCAGAAAGCAAACGAATGCAAACAACTGTATTTCAAACTTATCATCACTTTTCCACTCAGAAATTTTCTTGAAGCCTGGAACTACAAAGTGGAGTAGAGGGTTTCCCGGCATGCACTGAAACTATAAACTTTTTTTCATAAAAATGCCATGTTATTCAGATTTTCGTCAAGCAAGCGAGAAACAAACACATTATGACCCTGTTCGCCCAGCACTGATTACGTGGTAAATCATCCTAAATGGAGCAAATTACTTGATAATTATTGGATACTAGAAGCCAAATGATACAGAAATCGAAATGACAATGTTTAGGCGCTCGTCCACATTCTTCAGCAGGAAAATTTCGAAAACCACAGTAAATGCACAGTTTCCTATTAGATTTGAACTAGAGTTTTACTTGGCGGCGGAGTCCTCTTTTGAGATTTTCTGAGGTAACGGGCCTCTGTTTGATGGGCACAGAAAAGTAAGATCTATATTGTACATGACTTTTTTCAGTGGATTCTCTGCACTTCGCACTAAATCGGCGTGATATGGAGTTTCGTGTCAGTCAATCGTTCAGTGAGCCTATTAATGTCATTATAATCTTCACTGATAGTAAATGAATCGACATTATCATGAGAGACTGATGTATGCACTGTATTGCTGTACTCTTGAATGGGAGATGTGAACACGGTGAAGACAAAAGATATAGCTGGAGGCCAGTTTCATCGATATTCATGATGTCGCTTTAACTGACCAGTTTTACTTTACGCACAGGTGATGGTGTTTTCATCTTCATGTAACAACGACCACTAATTTTTCACATGTGCTTTAATCACTTAAAAGAAACTGATCTTATTTCTGTTTTTCAGTGCCACTGAATTTCTTATCAATAATGTTTGTTTTAACTTATCAGGTCTGATTGAAGCTATTGAGAGCGAAAAGAAGAATTTCGGTACAGTAAAATATTTACTTCTGTGCTTTTATTCTCTTTCATTTTCAAAATGGTAACCACTTTATTAGCTGAAGATTGAGAGCAAAGAGCTTCTTATGCTGGATATCACGACTGTTGATGCTTATCACGTGATAGTGTGACTGTAATTCGAAAGAAATACACATCTCTTCTGAGATTACAATTCGCCTTACCTAATGATTTAGTCAGCCGTAACTAGGAGCAATTTATAGTGTAGTTCACATTTGAAAGCTTCTTAGTGAAACTCTGAAATCGGAGATTTTGTAAGCATCCCTTTTTTTAATGCACAATTTGCAGGATTTACTAATAGTTACATAGCGAAAATGAAACAGTGCTTTCAGATTAAGATAAAGAAATATGAAGGTGAGTGTAGACTTTTGTGCAAACACTTTTAACTCAATGTCACACGGTGATTCTGGTTGGTTGTTTCTCTGTTAACATAAGTTATCATCAAACACACGCTTCTTTCTTTTAAATGAGTTGAGTAATGACAATAACAGCACCGACAACAACACTAACTTACTTATGTGGCCTCAGTTGTTCAGTGGGAGAGTGCTAAGATGCAAAGTTGGAGGCCCAGTTACAGTTGCTGAACAACGCACGCCTAAGCCTTGTCTAATTCGCTAGCCAGTGGTAAGTCCGGAATAGAGGAGAATTTGTGGCCGAGGCTAGCGACCACACCATGTTTTCTTCAATTACATTCAGATGTTCATTAATTAACCATCAGTTTTAACACCTTCAACATTCACCAGTGCCACATTGTTCAAATCCTCATTTACCCCAGGTTTTCAATTCATCTTCATTCATATCATTCTAAAGCGACTATTTTTCACTATGAATTTATTTCCTGCTTCATGAAAATAGGAATGGCCGAAAGTTATGCATGGGAAATTTGCTCACTTATTCAGCCGGAAGTCTTCCATCAGGGTATGTCATTAAAAATTGTTTTAATCATCAAAGATATCATGTGAATTGAGGTCAGAACCAAATAGCTTTGTACTCAGAATAAGGCATTGCACTTCGATAAAATAACTAATACAAATTTAAAGCAATTAGTTCCCTCTATCAACTTAGATTAAGCAATAAGAAGACGTAATTTGTCTGAATCGTGCAACACAATTCGAACAATCTGATCACACGCAGACTTGTCATAGAAATACACATGTATGAAATTAATAAAGAGTTAAGAGGTGAGAAAATAGACTTAGGTCAAGTTAAGAGGACATATTGAAGGTCAAATAACAATGAAGACCATTAAACCAAATAACAGAGGTAATAGTACAACTGCTATGGTATCAAAACAAAGTTTACCAAGGTAGGTTTAGTGTGATGACGAATTGTTTTTGAACGCATAAAGGTGGTTTAAACTTCCTAATTGCTAGCTAGGGCTTCCACAGACTTTAGGATACGCCCTCCTCCAAACACGTTTTATAGACAGGTTTAAAAGATGTGTTAATGTCAATTTTATGCCTTGTCTCTATAATATGTTTCGCTATAGAGGTGCTAGGTCTCCTGTTCTCACCATTAATGGGTTCTGAAGATTCTATTTGTTTCTGGAGCCATTAAGGAACAGGCTGTGAATCCAGCCCCTAATTGTAGAGATCGATGAGTCCTCCTTATGTATGTGTGTCCACACGTACATTCAAATTGGTAAATACAGTGGGATGTGACATCACTTTTCGCATGTTCAAAGGGCTTAGATAGATATATTGGCTACACATTCTCAATTATTATGATATTAGCTGCATAAAGTCTTTTTAACAGCAGCGTTCAATCTTTGTCTAGTTATCAAGCTGCTTTGATGCCCCATATAGGGTAGCTTGATGTACACGTCTTTCTTAGGGGCGAGTTGGAGAATGGGTCCCAGTCTTCTGACTACTTCATATCTCCTGAAGTACTTGTCTGGTTAGTTGTTATCAACCAGAGTTTGTGTCATTTTTCTTCCTCCTTCATCAAGTGTGTCCTCAGTGCATACTCGTTGGATTCCACTGAAGACGCGCCTCGCTCACTAAGGCTGTTTCCCACCGAACAGGATAGAAACTATGGTAATTAAGATTCTGTCCTGTCCAAGTAGGTTTTCTATAAATAGATCTCTTTATTAACCCATCAAGCCGCTGGCTAAGCAATATGTCTAGGAAAGATAAACAATTATCTTCTTCTTCTTCAGATATAAGTGATGTGCTGTTCTGAAATTCATTCATTCGGTTAACATCAATCACGGTAAATAATACAGCAGTATTGTGAAACACCCCTTTTCCCCATCATCACTGGGAGAAATCTAAGTAAATTAGCCTTTTTCATTTACCTGCTCAGCATCGCCTAAACTAAAGGCGACGCGAATGAGGATGCCAAAGACACACTTAGGATCGAGAAAGCGGGACAGGCTTTCACTACTCTAAAATTTGTAGGAAGGTGTGCAGCACTAACAATATGTAGCTGGATAATAATTAGCAACACTAATGTCAAGTAAGTGCTTCCATAGAGTGTGGGGGCTTAACATACGCATCAGGAAATACACTTGCAACAACTCACTTGAGAACTCCATCAATACACAGCCTCTTGGCTGCTTCGATAATGAAGATAAGATAGCCAGGATGAGCAAAAAGGGACCACACAAGGATTTGCTCAGTCGTGTAGCCTGCTGAAATTCATGTGAGAGAATCAAATGGAATGAATAAGAGCCACACTGATGGCCTATGTTTCACCCGGAGTGATTATTAATAATACTTAATAGAAATTTAATTCTCGAAGATAAGTAAGTGAAACATACTCACATCGAGTTTTAAATTTGTGGTTTATTGCCACCACAAAGCATTGTTATAACGATGCGCCTGGTGTTCAGTTGTACAACGCTCACTAACCATGTACAAGTTCTGGAGTTCATCTCCCGGCCAAGGCACTCCTTTACCTCACCTAGACGGTAGTTAACTCGGCAAAAAAGAGAGAGGGTCGGGTGTGTAGCTAACATTCCCGACTAACACCAACGCTAATGGAACTTCAGAGATCAAGCTTGCAGTTGTTTGCTCCGCTCTGAATGTTGAGGAATAAAATTAAATAATAATAATAGTGTTTATGAAGATAGTTTATTGTGAATCGGTTGCATTTCATAGCGCTGTGAAAAATTAAGTAAGAAATATAATCTCTGATCTCACGATGACTATGTATTTCACACATTGTGATATTCAAATTCACAATTCCTCTATATGACACTCTTCAATGGCAAGGTGTTGTTATCAAGGCCTTTGACGACTTTCTTCACAAGTCAATGAAGCTTTAACAGTTGGGTGTGACTGGATTTAAAGAAATGTTGCTGCTTCTCCTGGTATTATAAAGATTTTATTGAATGCAATCACATACTTCGACGCGGCTGGTACCATAACGGAAATCTTATTTCAGTTGAGAAGAAAAATGACACCTGATGAGGATCCCTAGGCGTTTCAAATTGTTATTTCTTTAGATTTCGAGTGGAACATAAGGCTTCAGTCACACATCTCTATTTATTTTTGGCTGACTCCACGCTATTTACTTCGGCGAATTTGTGAGGTGATGATTTCTCAGTTGGCTTTATCCCAGAGTTTATCGTTACTTGTGCTTTCTGGCCGAACATCCGACTTTCAGTGCCAAGCGAATGTCGCTGTTGACAAAAGTCTGCAGCCATTGTGAGAGTTTTGTTTATCTTACAAGTCAGTTTTTTACTTGAATCAAACCTTCAATTTACATTTTGACAGAAATTGAAGAAATTACCAATCTGATGGGTGAACTGTATGCTGAAATCAAAACACAAGCGGAGACTGTATGTAAGTAATACACAAACACACACACACACAAACAGAGTGATTTTATAGTATGCTATGATGTGACATTCAGACACAAAGTTTCATGCTACGAATCCTGGAGAAATCATAATAACAATCTATTATTCCTGAATATTATTATTATTTAAACTAGAAGAGCTATGTATTTATTTCAAAGTAATTTTATTCATGGGCTGAAATGGGATGAAGAGCAGATAGATAGAAAGGTGTCCTGTTCGAGTTTGAAACTTATCAGAATTGTGTACCTATTGACTAGTGTAAGGTCGAATTATCGATAATTAGCTAGGAAGCTGGAACACTGAAACCCTGAGCTTATGATATTTAAAGTCAGTTGATATGTGGTAAAGAATGACGATTGCAAATCATACGCGAATGAAATTGAGACGCTTCTGATTAATCTTCGAACAGAGCATCGGATGACAGTCAAATTTCATCTCAGCTTCATGGAATTTCAATATACCTTAAATAGCGTTGAATGCGAATTGATGTGGAAACTGCTGCAATACAATGAAGCACCACAAACCTTCATTAACCTCATTCAACAGCTACATGACTATTTCACAGGCCAAGTGATCCTAAAAGGGGAGAACTGCTTGAGGTATTCTAAGTGAAGACGGAGGTAAGACAAACCTGAGAAGACCACTGAGTGATATCACACGCCAGGCTACAGCCTGAATGGATTTTCGAACGGAAAACGACGAGTTTGGTGTTTGGTTGTGACATGGAAGAGATAAGATCTCATGGGGAATCGTTGAACCAGCTAAAGAGTAACCCATTGGGGGTAGTAATAATAAATTTCATAATTTCAAAAAAGTCAGGTGTGAGGGCATTTTCATTGTGCTAGTAATCTTTCATAAAAGTTTATCTACTGTGTAATGTATTGTTTAATCGAAGAACTCCTGACGTCATGTGTCATGGTCAGTGATTCCCCTTCCTCTTCATAACTGTTTAAAAATGTTTATCTTCGTATCTTATGGTTGATTCATTATCAGTTTCAAAGTTACTGATACTTTTAATAGACAGTTGTAAGAGACACTAATTTTTATTGCATGTTTTCAGTTCAAAGGAAATTATACACAGATCAAATGAACTGGAGCAATTGACACCAGAAGGTGGGTGATATATAGAGTGAATAAAACTGAGGCGATTGCTTTAGAAATGTCCCCTCAGCCTGTTTCTTACTTCAAAATATAATCACAGTTGTGTTTTCAATAAATTCTTCTTCACACTCTACACTTACAAATCCATTGATTTTAACATCTACTGGCCAGGCAAGGTGAATTGGAATTATGTCAGTAACTGTAATGTGCTACAAGTATAAAATGAAAAAAATAGTTTAAATTACCATTTCAAGGGAATATAAAATATGTGAGATAAAATGAAATGAAATAATTCAGTGATGTATCTGTATAGCCATAATCAACAAAGTATCAGTTTCAGTGGATGGTGCAAGAGGCAGTATGAATATGAAGGAAAATAAACCAAAAAAATTGAATGCAGTGAGCCAGGTATCATTTCGATGGATAGCAAAAAAAACGGTAATAGTGACAAATTTAATAGCCAAGTTATGGAGTAAACACAGGAGGAGTATTAGTTTCCGAATATTAGATACAGAAGAATTTATTAGAGTGGTGAGATACCGAATTACGTGAATACAATAATACATGTGAAGATTACTATGGAAAATCAGGAGTTAGTTTTTGAAACTGTGAATGGTATGAAAGGAGAGGTTGTAACTGAAAATAATGGAAAGAGGAAACTAGCATGATGGGGACCTAAAGTGTTAGCTGTCAATAATTTTAGATGACTTCTTGACATCATAGTCTGTCAGCGGTAAATAAAACAATGAGATCTATTTCTTGTGGATGCAGTGATTGGGTCTTCTAGTATTGACCGTCAAAGCTGCAGCTACTGATACACGACACTCTAAAATTCTTCTAATTGGATTCTTGTAAACATGGTAGTTCTGGTCAAACTCGATGACTAATAAGTATAGAGCCTGAAGAAGAATTTATTCATGTTCTTATTGCCCCATTGGGTTCCGAATGGAAGATATGGCTGCAACAGCACATCTCGGCTTTGTTCCATTCTCTGCAATCCTCGTCAGCTGGCTCCACGACTGCAAATAATCTCACATCTTCTCCAACTCTCATGACATTATCTGTGTCATCTTCAGATGCTCAACTCGTCGTTTCCCATTCAGGTGGCACTCGAGCGATGGCCTGACCTGCAATCTTAATCGATGATCTCCTCAGCGTGTGTCCGTTCCATGTCTCATTTCTGTAGCACATTCGTTGAGCAGTAGGTTCTCCAGTGATTCATTCCCACAGTTTCTTGTTGTTAATTATTTCTGACTGGCTGGCCATTTAATATCCAACATGGAGCCAGCGAAGCGAGAAGCTGTTGATAAAAATCTGCATCAGCCTGTTGGAAGTGATTTTCTTGACGCGCTGACCAAATTTCTGGACCATAGAAAAGAACTCACTCAATGACTGATTGAATTAAGCTTGGTGTTGAAAATTCAGATTATCTTCTACATGTTGAGTGCGGAAGACGTCCAAATTGATTTCACAGCGCTGTAGGTCAATCTTGTCTTTCCGATTCGGACTGGTGTTGACAGCGTCATACGTGCCAACTGCTTGTAGTTGGAACGATGCTACCAAGATAACTGAACGCATGAAGTGACTTCTTTCAAATTCATTCTGTGCATAAGGATTGGTGATGGTGGTTGTGTTCGTCACCGTGGTGGTGGCAGTTGGTAATCTTCATCACCTCCGTCCTCTCTATGTTCACTTGAAATCCTGTCCATTGAAAACAACAATAGTCAAATTTGATTAGCCTTATCCTGAATAGATTGTTAGCATATTCAAGTTATTCCTAATTTGTCTAACAACTTTCATTCCACTTGGTTATATAAGCGTCATCACTGTTGAAACAGCGTCTCTTCTGATATCTGAATTTCATGTAACCACAAACTGTTGAATATAATATGAAACAATTTATTCCGTAAATTTGTGCATCTCTCGAACTTCACTCACTCAGTTCGAATGCAACTTATTGCATATTGGATGGACGAAAAGTAGTCTACCGAGCATATATACTTCATCTGTTATCTCTATAGAAAAAAAGAGTTCATTGTATAACCAGGTGAACCGCGTTAAGAAAGAAGTTTAAAATAGGGACTTTCAAATATCAATTTTCAAACTTACATTGCTACTAATATTTGCATTCGATCCACCTTTTTTCTAAAAATGAATATGTGTGTTTGTTTATTTACAGGATAACTGCATCATTTAGGAATTATTGTCTCTTCTAATCACCCAATGACTTTTCAGAGAAATCAGTGTCGAGCGATTAGTTATCACCTTAAAAATAAACACATTCATTGACTTTTATTATTATTAATGTCGATAATAATTTCACTTAAACTGTTCCATTCTTCTTGAATATTGCTGTTTTAATTCATTGTGTAATAAATAACGTTTGAAACATCAAACTGTGAATTCAAAATAATAAAAGCAAAAAAAACTGTAAAATGCTATTACTTTTGCTATTAATTTCTTGAGTTCCGAGTGGGAAGTGGGACTTCAGTGACACATCTCCCTCCCATCAATCTCAACTGCCTCCACTTCTGCTCGCTTACATGCTTTCATTTCTAAGTCATGAGACCTCCTCCATATCCCTCTCACACACACAACGCGTCTCTCGTCACTCAGCTTCCAGCCGACGGTGGAATGCTGTGTGATGTTGCATGAATCTCTCTTCAGTAAATATCTAATCTGTCTGCATTGCCTTCTGCATACTTGTTGGTTGGTTAGCTGCCTGGAGTGGCTTTGCTTATTGCACAATCATTCCTGGTTGATAGCTTCACCGTCATTATCAAGGCAGCGAATCAGGAAGATGTTGATGAATGTATGTGGTAGCCAGCTGGAAATGTTTTGCCTTCTTAGAGCATCCTTACAGTGAAACCTGAATGAGTAAAATAACAGTTTGTGAATCTGCGTGAGTGACGTTCACAGCAAACTATTTGCAAATGTGATGAGCAGTTTGCCATTTCCCTCTGACTTTTAGTGGCTATTTTATATAAATAAAAGGGGAAATTTTGTACTGCGTGAATAAATCACCGTTAGCGAACATTGAAGTTTATTTGGTTTACTGTGCATGCTACACTTTATCTGACAGTCACATCTACATGTCTTCACTCGTGGTAGTTTCGAAAAACAGATGCACACTGATCCCATTGTAGGTCTGTTCACAGACCAATGTCAGTTAGAGAATCAATTAAAAGTATTCATCTTTGAAGACTTGACAAGTAGGACGAAATAAGTGTGCAGCATCTCCAAAACGCTTTCCATGACACATGCATCAAGTCTTGGAACATGCAGAAGCACAGACCTGACATCGATGTTAAACACCCTGATCTTGCTCTTCACTCTGAATCCAGTAGATTTCCGCACTGATTTGAAAGCAGTGCGGATGTGCCTCAGCTCTTCGATTTCCTTTTTTTTACCTTCTAATCTGTGATGCCCCATGTAGTGGAAACAATGTGATCAGTACTAGCGATTGTCGTGCACTTACGATTGACACTGACTCCATTATCATTCGAGCTACTGGTCTGATAAGTATTTGAAAAACTGTGAAACACCTGGCCGAAAGTACCTCACAGTTTGTAGGTTTCAGTATAAATTACCAGTTGAACGCAGGATAATGTCGACCACAGTGAGACACAAATTCTTAATGGAGTAAAGCAATAGGTATTGTACATCAGTCTGAAGTTGTTAGCTATACAGATCAATTGAGGAAACGGAGAGGATATACAATTTCGTCAACTTCAGTTGCACCATTGTCAACACAGTCACACTGAACACTAAACATCTCATTCTAAACAATACTGCACACTATAGGATCTGTCATCTTCAGGTAGATAAATATTACACATGAAAGTGAAGAGAACTCAGCGTACGCTAAGACTTATTATATCATCGCCGTACAAGTGAAGAAATGTCAGATCTCAAAGTGTTTTGTATTCACGCTGACACAGAACAAGATGATTTCAATGACTAATTAGAAAACTCAAAGCGGAAGAGAACAAAGGCAAAAGGCACATCACATTTTGATAGTTGAAAACAACATTCCACTGAGAAGACTGTTCTAGATGACATATACAGGAGAAGATGGTAAACAAAAATAAGCAGAGGTGAAACAGTATGTGCGGTGATAGAATGTCAATAAGTTACTTATAATAAATTAAGATATCTCAAAGGAATATTAATCACACTGAAATAAGAAGCCGGAAAGACACGTGTCATGCTGATTTCTGAATGAAAGAAGTCACTTATCTGTTACATGCACCATCACCGATATTGTTGTTAGATGCGCTGAATTCCGTGTTAATGTGAACATCTGGAACAGACATCTCGATTGATTTTACCTGTTTTAACTGATGCCTGCTGATGAGTGGTAGTGGATTGATATGCAGTCGGTTGGCTGGCTTCTTCTCTTCTTCAACCACTCTGTATCTATCTATATGTTATGTCGTATTATCATAAATATGTTGAGAGAATGACAGCTTGGACGACTTAATCAACTCTCACCAAGGCTGAATGAAAATATTTAGAGATGAAAGGCCTAGTCGTGTAGGAGTGGTGGTGGTGGTGGCAGTGCTATTAGCAGTAGTTTCACAGGAGGTGTCATCCAGTGATTTCCTCATCAAAAAGTGTACAGTCACAGCTTTGTTCAGTGCCATATCCTGGTAATGACTATTTTCGTCAATCACCAATTACTCTATTGAAACTCTCTGATTTCATGATCAGTCTGTTGCCGACTATGCATCAATGAGAAACAAAGCAAGTCGTTCAGTTAAGAAATTCATTTTATGTCGAACTGATTCTCTTTCTCTGTACAACACCACTTATGTAGAATTATTTCCACGAAAGAGGATACTGGCAGCAGTGATGAGGTGTCATATTCACTGTTGTTAATACTAATCAGCATATAAGAGGTATTGAATAAGCTGGTTAAGGTAGGCAATAAGAGAGGTAACTGACTGAATCACCTGTAGCCAGAATGCACATGGAAGCGAAGGAAAATCTGGAATAACCTACTAGTTAGAAAGAGTGTCAAAGACAAGAAGTAATGTGTATTCAAAGAATCAACTTAAGTCGTTTTATGTGGACTTCAACAGCTAAAAGTATGCAATCTAATGTTGTTATACATGGCGTTTTTGCTTCCCCTTCTCTACAATCCACAGATCACTCCAGGAATTCAGGTTCAGATGGAAAGTAACCAATCTTTGTGATTTCTAAAGTATATTCCTGGGACAGTCATGAAGAACACGCATACGCACTTTGCGAAATGATGACAGGAATAGGCCATGTGAAAAATTTAATAAGTCACGTGTGAGCTTGAAGGGTAAACCCCAGAGCGAGTTGGTAAATATAACTCGTTCAAGCTTCAATGAAAACAAGCTCCAATGAGAAAATCGTTGTTGACGAATTTCAGGGAATTGATATTGTGATATTCAATGCATAACCATAATGATATATCACTCTTGACGTTGTTATGAATTCTGTCAATACTGCTTCATAACTTATTCACCATAGACATGCTCGCATTCATCATGGACAGGCATTCATACTCTCCTACAAGTCACTGTGAAACTGATGAATAATTTAACCGGAGAATAAGGCAACAGGAGAAATGTATTCATGGGATTTTATACTGTAGCGGTAAATAATTCCCCAAAATTATTAACCACAGCAATCATCACTCAACATTGGATGCTGACCACCACTGTTTAAGTCGACTTGTTTAGCTGAAGGCTTCCGGTCAAGCATCCCCGCCATTTGGTGCTCCGTCGTGTCACGTGCGTGCACGATTACTAGCTAGCTAAGCATTCACCTCTATCCGCGATTTTGTCCCGAAACATACTACGTACTTTGGACGACAAAATCTGGTCTTTTGCTTCATCTTTGGTACTCGAAGAACGAACACTATAGAAGTTGTTGGTATAAGATCTTGCGTTAGTATAATCCGTACAACTCGCGAACGTCGATACCGTCAGCCTCTAAAATACATTTTATTCATTACAAGTGAATTGACTTCATTCATTTTTGTACTTTAAATATGAATGATGTGAATAGACTTCATTCTCTCTGTGCTGAATGAAGACTTTGCAAATAGTCTCATCCCTACTGAATGCTTCTTTCAGTCATTGAGAAAGTAGACATTTCTGAATGGATGTGATAGTACTTTAAACCAGTGCTGTAAATGATTTGGAATACCAAACATTATAGATTATTCCATATTAAATAATAATAATAATAATTGGTGCATATATTAACTGATACTATTTTACTTGCACTCATATCACAATGTCGCTTTAAATCGACTGAAACGTTCCAAATCAACCAACAATATATTCCACCTAATTAGTCTACTTCTCTTCTATGAAATATCTTCATCTTCATTTTTCAGAAAGTATTTACCTTGTTTGTTATACTTATTATGTAAGAGTCATTTATTGCTCTGTTCAACCTTGAAGCAAAGTAGACCAAGTTTATTTCCTGAGTAACAAGCAAAAATAAACATCAAGTTTAATAAAAGTCATTGAAAATATGTGAAACCAATATGGTCTGAATGGTATAGAGGAATTCACAGTTGCGTGGATCACAAGTAAGCTACACGTGTCAGTGTATTTATGTGTCAGTGTTTCTCAATTAGAAATGCTTCTCAATAATCATCATAGTTGTACCATTAGTTTTACATGTCACACGACTTCATATCATTCGATCACAATGTGAAAAGTGTAGAAGGTAATGTATAGTCGAAGTGCACACTATATTTATTTATTCAGATGTTAGATTTATTGAGATTCCATCATAAAGCGACACCACATAAGTGGGACTCATCACTAATGAGCATTCACCGACCCATGAAGAATGCAAATGTACACTTTACGGTTTAGTGGTGAATATGTTACTAGAGCTCATGAATATCGACCTCTGTAATTTCTCGGTATACCACTTCCGATTTCACTCACTATCACTGATAAATCACTCACACTCAACCGGTCACTTTCCATTCAAACTGAAGGATGACCAGATTCAGAGTGGATTAGAACTTTTGAGGCTGACGGTATTGACGTTCGCGAATTGTGCGGAGTATACTCATTCAAGATCTTATACCAACAACTTCTATAGTATTCATTTCTCGTAGACCAAAGGCAAAGTAAATGACCAGATTCAGTCGTCCAAACTACGAGATATATTTTGGGACCAAATAGTTAATCGTGTGGAGTGCTTAAGTAGCCAATGATCGTGCACGAACGTGACACGACGGAGTACCAAATGGCGGGGATGCTTGACCGTAAGCCTTCAGCTAAACAAGTCGACTTAATAGTGTAAGTCAGCATACAATGTCCAGTGACGATTGCTGTGGTCAATAATTTTGGGGAGTTATTTACCACGACAGA